AAAAAAAAAGAAGGTACAATTACTAATTAGCCCTTCACTTTTTTACGAGACTAGGTTTAGTGACTTCACTCACTCACCATCACGAAATTGTGCGGATGATGATCTCCCTGAGTGGTTGTGCCACTGAACTGGCTGCTGCCCTAATCTGACACCTGGAGAACTTTGTGACATATTAGGCGCAAAATATGACTGATTTCTCATCTGTGCATTATAGCCATAAATGGCAGGGTTGCTGCTTGCTCCTCCAAGACAAGAAGACTGAACAGGGGGAGGCACTTCATGCCTACATAATTTAATGAGCCCCCAAAAAAAAGTATTAACCTTCTTAGCCTCCATAATCAACAGTGTGGGAGAAAGAAAGCATTAGCATACTGTCATGAACGACTAACAGACACCTAAACAAATACGTAAATATAGCATGGATAAGTTTAAGTGCGCATTGACAGTTCACAGATATTTTTACTATCTGTATGAAAGTAATCTTCAGAATATATATATAAGTCCACCTCTGCCTCAAAACGCTGCGGTTGGATCCTTTGGTTCCAATTAATGTCTCAGAGATTGAAGGTTCACTCAAGTGCATCCCCTTGTCAAACCCACTTGTCATGCTGTTCATATCTGAATTGTCCTCTTGCAGAAGAAGTTCTTCACTGGAAAAATAATCAACAACGAAACATATCAAATCATTTTCCCAATGTTCCGAGAATTAATGTCATGTAACCCCATTTGTAACATATAGATTAAATGCAAACTAAATACTATTTTTCGACACAGAGCATCACAGTGATTATGAGCATGTTTGTTTACAAAATAATTCATTAACATTCATCATATTCAAAATCTAACTCAACTTTAACTCAGCCCCACTATCCTCATTATTATTAATATAATTAAATAATACAAACGAATCATTCTTACACACCACATCCACTTTAATTCAATATTCATTCACTCACATAATTTTAACTATCACTTCACATCATTTCTCTCCTACTTTTACATTAAATCAACTTTAATTATTTAATTGTAAATATTATATTAATATAAATCAAAATCCCACTAACAACTAACCAAGCACGCCCTATATACCAAAGATGCATAACTACTAAATATACCTATAATTGGGATCCCAGTCTGCAGGATCAGGCAGCGAGTTGCTAGCCTCAGACTTGTCCTGAAGAGTTAGCGTATGGGATGAGGTTGGTATACTGCCGCTTCCTTGTGATCTCCATGTTGGGGGATTGCTGTGCTGTCTATGGTTATGATGAGTAGATGGAGACCCAACAAATGCACAATTGTTACCCTCAGACTGCCGGCAACTACTGGTGCTGGCATCCGATAATGTTTCTTGCAATTGGTAATTCCCATGGAAGGCAGCCCCCCAGTTTTTTCTTCTATTGTAATGGCTGCCTGATGTTGCTTTTCCCAAAGGAGATGGAGGCCCATAATGCCCACTGGGTGAACCAGCTGAAATCTGACTATACGAGTTAGGGGGTGTAAATTGTGAAGGACTAGAACCCAGAGACATTGGAGCGAAATTTCCAGGGCTAAAACCAATCCCATTTCCATGCGGGTGAGGCATCATTCGCCTTGTATCTGGGCTGTTCCCAATAACCGATATACCACTTTTGGCATACATACTCATTCCAGACGGGCCTGCCGGAGAATAAAATACATGCAAGTTGTTACTGTCACCATAACTTCCGTAACTGCTTCCAAGCCCCAAACCGTCATTGTAGCTTCCATGGCTTCCCAAGCTACCGTAACTACCCGGATGCACATATGACATTAGTTGGTAATGTGGGCTGTTTGGCATCACCGCACGATTCCTGCCTGAAATCTGCACCAAATGCCAAAACACAGACAATTATTTGTAATTGCAAAACATTCAAACAAGTGTGTAACTGGATTCTTAAGATAGAAATTGCTCACATTGGGAGAAAGACCAGCAGCAAACCAATGGCCCCCAGCTGGATGATGGTCCACCTTAACATTCTGAGAAACAGGCTGAACAAAAGTGGATAATTAAAATTAGACGAACATAGAGGAGAAAATGAGAGAATCACAATTAAGATGGTTTGGGCATGTGCGTAGGAGAGACTTCGAGGCCCTGGTGAGAAGGGTAGAAACATTAGAATTAAGAACGCAAATTAAAAGGAGGGGTAGACCTAAGAAAACTTGGAAGGAAACAATAAAAAATTATTTAAAATATTCAAATTTGAATGAGGATATGTGTTTCATCGAGCACGATGGCTACATGTGATCCATATAGCCGACCCCACTTAGTGGGATTTTTACGGCTTGTTGTTGTTGTCGTCGTTGTTGTAACCAAAGCAAGCGGTAGGAAGGGTCCTGCATAAGACAACTACTAATAGATGCAACTATTGATGGAGTATCACAAAATAGGTTATTATGTATCGGTATGATTTCACCCCTCATATGTCAGAATGGTTTCATGATAATAAATTAATAACTATTCATGGTCAGCGCTTGATTCCCACAATGTAGATAATGCATGATTCTCCTTTTTCACAACAAATACAAACAAGTCATCTAGTAGCTATTTACAAAGAAAAACCATGGACTATTGATTTGATAAAATGAGAATGTAGTTCAACGATATTTGCTCACCATATGAGGGGTCTCCGGAATAGGTTTATAAGGACACGTGAAAGGCTCCCCAGTCAAAAAAGGATGCTTTGAAGCCTAAAACAAAAACATAAATACCAAATGCTTGACATTGTGTAACAAACTCTCAACACAAGCAATCAACAGCATGAAAAAGATTGAAATCCAGATGTTTCTGGTAAACTAACTTTGATGACTGATGTATATGATTATTATTATTATTATTATTATTATTATTATTATTATTATTATTATTATTATTATTATTATTATTATTATTATTATTATTATTATTATTATTATTCAGTCAATGGTGGTAGATATTCATCAACTTCTTCTTCTGAAATTTTGATAATTAGCTCAAAACATTCTTTATATTTATTTATTATAGTTTACACACTACTGTAATGTATCGTGTTTAAGTGTAGGGATACAATACGATGCAATTGTGAAGCTTCTAGATTGGGATATGCACTTCTAAAAAGTTTTGAAAATATTGGAGGTCATACAAACAATTCCAGAGCTTCACACAATTTTTCCATAGGCATCTTGCCACCAGGAAATGAAGACTTCACACTTATGAGTTGACTAAGTATCAATAAAATTTTAAATGGACCAATGATGTTAGGCAATGTGCCTACATGTCGTTTTTGCGAAAGTAAAGGAATCTGGAAATATATCTATTCTTGAATATCACATTCTGCTGAGATTTCCAACAAGGCAGTCCATCTTGTCAGTGCAGCACTTTTCATAGGCAACTCATGATAACGACGTTATAATTCAAAAATTAGCAAGCATTTATGGTGTTAAAATGAATATTTATGTTCTTTATGTGGTAGATTAATATAATACCCAAACGTATCGGAAAAACCATTCCACAGGGTGCCTTAAAATATCGTGGATGTAAGAAAACTGACAAGACCAAAGAAAAGATGAATAATAGGAAGACCAGGATTCACAGGTAGTTTAATCATATTCAATCACCTGCAAAGGAGACCACCGTTTAGCTGGATCAAATTCAACGAGTCCCCTTAAGAAATCAATCAACGCTAATCGTATTTGACTTTCTGCGAAAATAAACAGCAAGTTAAATAATACAAATCTTGAAGTATTTAACACAGGTATCCTATATGCTTCAGTAGCTTCCTTTTAAGTAGAAAGAATGAGGACCTCTAATGACATCTTCCTCCGCCAAATCCTTCTTATAAGGGTACTTTGTGACAATTGCGTCAAGGTTCATATGATTAAAATACTCCTTCCCTATTGAAGGTTTTTTTGATTCCCTCTGAATTCACAAAAACATAAATACTAAATATTAGATATATAAAGGAAAGAACGTCACACTAAAAACCAACATCAAGAGAAAAGCCACAAGGAGGTTCACTGCAGAGGTTCCACAACATTTTAGCAGGATCCGCAAGGTAAATGCAAAATATAAAGAACGAATGGGCATCAGCAGAAGCTTCTTGCTGTTAGCATGACCGGAATACCCCTTTTTGGGCAGGAGACTCGTGAAACTTCCACATCAAATAGTCCTAACGTTTTCAGAAAGATATGGTAGAGTTTTGAAAAGTTTGATTGAAGTTGCACCAAGTGATCTTCCAGTACATGGAAGTTGGAACGAGGATAGGTTGCCTGCTACATGGAGAGCAGAAGGGATACTGAAAATTTGGTGGAGAGGCTACACCTAGTACCAGAATGATGAAAGATGATACATCCCAGGTCTTTGTTTTCAAGTGCGGAAAACCATTACCGAAGTTGCAGATTAAACTCCCACAATAATAAATAAATAAACTTGGCTGAATTTTCCTTGAATCCAGTATAATATCACGACTGAGTATAATATGTAAAAGATGGAAGGAATTAATTACATCAATGAATCAGATCAATAGACCTCTCAAGTCTCAAAGTCAATATCCATCTGAGTATATATTACCCAAAACTTTGCAAATCAGAAAGATGCAGCTTAAAAACTTGAACTAGCACTCACTGCTGCATATTCTTCTCCAGTCAAAACTTGATACATGCTACAATTACTTTTATGATTCGGGTCTATTTCTGCATGGTTAATGCTCCCAACAAATTTAAAAAACCTGCTCGTGTTTTTGGCCTTCCTTAGAATATAATCGGGAGGTTGTCCCCTACAAAATATATGAGAATGAGTTAATTTAAAAGGTAGGTAACAAGTGACCCGAGGTAAGTTTGCAAAAGGCAGGTTCTCAGTTCTTCTCAATTTCCTAAAAGTCGCAGAAGAAATATGATTTCTCTATATATAGACATTTTTTTCCTGATGGAAAATGTACCAAAGGCGTAGATACATATGAAAACAATTTCATAACTTTATACATATACATAATTATCAGTTCACCAATTTTCTTTCTAGAGGTAAAAGAAAATATTATACCCCAATATTTTAATCATCCTCTTCAAAAGATCAAACTCTGAAGCTCCTGGAAACAATGGTAAGCCTAGAAATAATTCAGCAACAATGCAGCCAAATGACCACATGTCTATGGCTGTTGTATACCTGTACCAGGTTAAGGTCTCAAAGCATGATATGCATCAGAAAGATTTGAGCATGACAGAGAACTTGGTTGATATGAGAATGGACAATGCATAAAAAAACGCGAGAACAGTCACACAAAAGGGTGCCCTGAAATCTATTTCCTTCAAACGCACACAAGTGAGGTTTCTCCCAATCTCTCCTACATGTGTGTGTGTGTGTGACTATAATGAGAAAGAAAATAGATAGAGGATTGAAACTTATTATTCAGTCACTAGGATAATGTTGCAAAATACAGTGTCACTAACTTAGTAAGAAAACATGTACCGCTGCTGACCAACCAAGAAAGAACTATGACAAATTGCAGTATTCAGGAAATGGAAAGGGAGGAAAAATACTTGACTTAGACATTATAGGATACTGATATCCGAGAAGAACTTCAGGTGATCTATAGTACCGACTCTGCAAAAAAAAGATAAAAATACATTACCAACCCAAAACATGTTAGTTTGAAATAAGAGATGTTTTCACCTGTATATAAGAATAAACAGTACGATCTTCCATGCATGCTGATCCGAAGTCTATGATTTTAATTCCGACTGGCTTTACGCTGTCAATATCATGGCACACTCTAAATATCGAAGATAAAAAATATGCAAATAGAATTTAGTAGCTAAAAATTATCATGGTGTATCTGACCTTGTCCACAGAAGAATATTTTCTGGCTTCAGATCACAATGAATTATACCAGCATCTTTCATAAGAGCCAACCCCCGCAAGATCTATGACAAAATAAATAAATCTTATAACACAGTTCTAAACATCCACTGTCCACAGCCATCCCATGGGTAAAACCATCTCAAATTGACATCAATCTGAAAAGAGGAAAACATTACCTGTTTCGAAAATAGCTGCACCACATTCAGTGGCAATCCCCTAAACTGATTCATTTTTATAAGCTCGTACCTATCACAAGATTTAAAAGGTAACGCAGACAAGGTCCCTGATTTTGTCAAGAACAATTAAGTCTTTATTCAAAATAAACCACTTCATGGAGCAGCAACTTACAGATTAGTATCAAGCAGCTCAAAAGCGATGCACAGGTGACGTTGATACACAAAATAATCATATATGCGAACAATGTGGTGTTTATCCTCAGGATCAAACTTCTTATTTAACTAGAGAAAAGGAAAAGGCAAATAACTGACAATTTTCTTGGAACCTCTGTAATAAGATAATAATAAATCGAGTTGAAGGGATTTTTACAGCTGTCAAAATAGAAACTTCAACAAGTGCCTGCTGGTAATAAGCAGGTAAGTTTTTGATAATCTTAACAGCAACAAAACTATTTGTCTCAGCAACCCAGCACTTAGCAACCTGGCCAAATGTTCCGTGGCCAAGAACATCCTTGACAACATATCTGCATAAGAATAAGTAGACAATTAGTCATTTGACAATATCTAATGATATACTTACCCTGAGATAGCACGAGCTGGAGAAAGCAAGTAGTTAAAATATCAGGTGGTACTAGCTTTATTATTGAGCGTGAGAAGGTATAGAAGTAGCTTTATCACAATTCATACGAGAATACCCGTCAAATGAGTACATTTTCCTCTCCTTATTTCGTCCATTGCTCATGCAAGATCAGAGATATGATGGAGTAAATAAGAGATAACATAAAGAGCTTATAGAACAGCCAATTATGAATTATTTTTATTTTCGTCTCGTCGGACAAAATGTTTCCCATTGAAATTGTAATTGGATGCAAAATATTTTTTAAAAATATACATTTTCTTTTATCTCACTGTTTTCTCAATCTCATCGTGACAATTAAAATAACCATCATTACAACACATTTTATCAACAAAAACACCATTTACTCACAAATATATTTCTAACCAGCAACAATTACCAATCAATATTTTACTTTTTCTGTATCACATTAACTTTGATCACTACATTTTTATCTTATACATGTTAACAATCTCAAAAATATGTAATCCATCCCCCAGAACTTTTTCCGCCTCTTCCATCTCTCTTGTCCAGTGAAACAAAATTTCCCAAAAATTTCTATATTCATCGCAACATAGGTATTTTGCATCGGTACTTTGAGATATAACCAGTTGGGCAGGTCCACATTACAAATAAGATTGTCCAAGTGCGCCCTAGTTAAATACTATGGGCATAAACTCTCATGAGAAATATTAGGAGATCATCATCACTTCGTTTGCAAAGTGAATCCATCTCGACTTTTGTCATAAATTTATATTGAATCATTAGTTTCACATGGATAGCAAAACAAGAGGCATGCACTTTCTCAATTCCTGAAGCATATTGGAGTATCATAAACAAAAGGACAGTGAAAGAAAGAAGCATACCTCTGCTTTGTTTCTGAGTTAACTAGCAAATAGTTTGGCGTAAGAATTAAGTCTGAATTTGCATTATCACAACCATCATTTAACAGTCCAGTGGATGGAGATGTCAAAAACCTCTTTAGATTTGATTCCGTTGAATAATGGAACTGAGGATTGCATATTTGGTATATTTCAACTATATCTTTTGTCAAGCGGGCAACCAACTGCGATGAAGAAACGAAAAACGTGCACGCAGTTGTGGTCAAATAAATTCAGACATAAAGAGGGTTCCTTGCAATAGCAAAGATTACTCAACACTAGAAATAACATAACTGTCATCCAACACAAAAGGGTAAAATAAGAAAAAGAATAGCGAGAGAGAGAGAAAGAAAAACAAAGAGGGAGGGAAATAACCATTTCAAAATGCTCACAGCAGGAAAACTAAATAGGCTTCTGCAGTCGACATATAAAGATACGCAATTACAAATAATAGTATTCTAATAGAAGAAAAAGAATAAAATAGACCACTCTTTGCTGGCCTCTTTGAATGTAACAATTTCAGTAAGTATCGTTTAAATATTAGAACAGTGTACAACCCATTTTTGCCTATTCAATGAATTGTTGGTAGATGGTATGTCCTCTAATAACCTCAAAATAACATTTCTCCCATATGTCTCTATCCATTCCAACAAAATGAAGTGGTAGTTTATCTCTATTTTTGAACAACAGTAGGCTCTTCCTGAAGTCAATCGTCCTCCTTGTGATGATGTTTAATGCTGCCTAAAGAAAGGCCTAAATTTTGCAATAAAAATGTATATATTTGCAGCAATGGACACTACTTATCAGGTTAGCACCAGTTAATATTGGCATAAATGAAGTTGTACAGGTGTTTGATTAGGCAATAAAGTTCTGGATACACCATACAGCAGTGATCAGTAACTTGCTCAACTTAACGGGATGCCCACTATAGATGCCGTAAAATGAAGTGCAATCAAAGCATTAGAGATGGCAGAATTCACCTACCGGTTTTCTGACTACTACTCTCAAAAGGTGGGGCTTTGCATTATTTTCCGTGATCGACGAATAAGGTCGGAAGGCAAGCGGCTTGGGACGCCAGGATATCAGCCTCGAGGTGGACGAAGATGCTGCTGAGCTTTCACTCGCTTCTGGCTCCTCTTCCTTGGTACCACCAGCACAGGCCTCGTCCATCACCCCCCAACTACAAAACCCCGAGTTTTTTTCTCTCCGGTAAAGACTCAAGGGCAAACGACTCAAAAAGCAGACGGTCAACCAACGGGACGGTTAAATCTTCCAGCAAAGACGATGAATTCACCAGAAGATTGCAATCCCATCCTCATTCTCCAGCGGGCGAGGCTCACCCAAAAGAAAGAGCCTTCAAGACATGATCCATTGAGAAAAAAGAAGCTAGCATCAGAGGATATTTGATAGGAGACTGACTCGGCCAATTCGATCCAGCTAAGTTCTTCAACGACGAAGAACCCACAAGGCAGATTTGTCGATGCAATCAAAATTTGGGAACCTTTAGGATTGAATTCGATCAGCTCTTTGTTGTTTGTTTGGATTGGAGATCTTTAACAGGGAGAGAGAAGAGCCGCTGTCAAATCCGTACCAAAATGAATGTTTATCGCTCGGTAACACCGTTGAAACAAGAACCAACATGTTTATCCACACCTCATTGTACAAAATTGATTTTGGTCTTAATGACTAATTTTAGCCCAATATAAACAGGCTTGTTCATTGGATCCATAATCCCACTTCTTCAATAAAATTTTTCAAGAAAATCTTATTGCACTCTTAAATTTTAGCTCTTTTTTTAGTTCACTAGCAGCGAAAAAAAAAAAAAATTACATGATTGCGTAGTTGAAGTCGCAACAACAACAACAACAACAACAACAACAACAACAACAACAACAACAACAACAACAACAACAACAATAATAATAATAATAATAATAATAATATGACGAAGGTTTTCCTTTTAAAAAAATTTCTCTCTAGAGCATTGGCCATCGTTCTATTATCTGTCGATATTGTCTTTTTCGATCTTGTTTCTCTTCCTTTGTATTCATCTTCTCATCTCCTCAGTTATATATCAGTGGTATTAGCAGAAATTCTATAGTGCCACATG